GCCCACACTCATAAACATCCGGAGAATTTATGCGAATGAAATTGCCTTGGTGCCCGACGAAAATAATTACAATGCATACAGGGGTCTATATAAATGCATACAGGGGTCTATATAAATGAATACCCCTGTAGCGTACGAAAAAGTGATTGTATAAACAGGCTTCTCAAAACCGAGAATTTTTTTAAGAAGCATGACGCTCTGGATGTCACGGCTGCTTCATCGACTCTCCACGGACGGTTAATTTTTAAGTTCAGCAATGATACCCATGTAAGCATTCAGGAAGTCAATTTTGGCGAACGTACATTTTTGATCATATATCATCAGACAATTCCCATAATACAAGGGAGGTTAGGGCGAAAAAGTTTAACCAGGCAATAAGCAGAATAATCCATAACGGTCGTTCGCAAAACCTGGCATCTTGAAGTTTATTTTTAGATGGCTACTTTGACAGCGTAACTTACATTTAAGACGCTACCCACAAGTTGGCCTTTTCTGGCGTTAATTTCGGCTGGGCCTGGTCCATTGCGATCTGCACTTTATGTTTGCACTCATAGACGACCAAGTCCACCCCCATAACTTGCTTAAGCTAGGAAGCGGCCGGCTAATGTGATGTTATATCTTAGAAATGCATCAGCCAGTTTCCAGCTAAATCTTGACACTTCCGTTTCCAGCGGTCAGGCCCGATATACTCTCGGGTCAGTGGTCGGGTGTTGGGGGGTTTAGCTGTCTCATAGATGTATAATGGAAGACTACGGTCGCATATATCCCTGAAAACCTGTGGGCCTGTTATAATTTGTGTATTTCGTTTATGGTAATTTATATTAACCCGGGCTGGCAGACGTACCGGCCATAGTCGGGGAATGTTGCGTCTCGTGCAGCTTCGTAAACTGGCGGTTCGATTTTGTCATTCACCGAACGTTTTCTAGGTGTGCTGCTTTTCCATTTACCAAGGACTGCCTTGGTAATTAGATATTCCAATCACCTGAAAATTACAGCGGTTAAGTCTCTGACGCAGAATCAAATTCAAATGTTTTTTTGCGCGTATCTGTTTTCTTCTGTAGTCCCAATGAACAGTCACTGAAACTGCAACGCGGACCAGCCTTTCGAGTCAGAAATACAGGAGTACGGATCACTTCTCAAAACTACTAGGCGTATATGCGATTGTTAGACAGCAAAACATTCCTCAAAAACTGAAGAGGCTGGCACTGTGCTCCCGTGCCGCAATACATGTCTTCCGGACTTGTGTAGCGTCTACGTAGTGGTTATACTCAAGGCACTAAAATAATCAGATCGAATCCCAGGTTGTAGATAAAGGGCAGAAGTCATCAGTGGGAGGGATTTATTGTCCACAGAACCCTGCATTGCTGTCTCAGGCAGCAGTGCCTACTGGCAAAGCCAGGGCTAGTGTTGAATACGTGCAGTCGTGCCCGAGTGTCTGTGCGGGAGAAAGATGACAGTTGCTTTTACATGATTGTGGAGCATGTTCAAGTGGTATGTTTTTGGTGTCTTGCATTGTCTTAGGGGTGTCGCCTGCAGAAGCCTCTGCTGCGTTGGCTGAGTGGGGGGTGGCATGTTCAAGTGGCCCTTGAGCAGCCGAGAGTCGGTCAATGAACTTCAGGTCACCGAGTCGGGAAAAAGCTCTCTGCGAAGACACATGACGTTGAAGCAGTGGGCATTGAACAGGGAAGCCGGACGGTTTTGTTGGCTGTCCGCCACAAGTGAAACTTTTAGGTTCCTAGATAAACGCTCCAATGATTAGATTCCTTATGTTTTTATCCAACCTTTTTGCTGTATGGTTTAGGTTAGGCGGATTAGCCCTTTGCTCCTTCCTCACAGTTTGTTTCTGCCTTTTTTTACCAGACTACTATCGCCCAGCAACTGGGTCTGGAGATCTCCACCGTTGCAAACTTCTTCATGAACGCTCGTCGGCGCTCTTCAGAAAAATGGCAGGACGGAGACAGCAAGAACTCCAGCCTTGCTGACTCCTCCTCGCCCCGCTCTTCAGCCAGCCAACAGGATGGCATGCAGATGCTACAATCTAAAATTCCCAGGGACACTATTGACGAATTTTCGAACGACGCCTCCCTCCTGGCCGCAGGTGGTCCAACTGCCGCGACCAATGGTGCCTCAATTTTGAACTTAAAGGCCGGTGCTGGGGCCCCTGGTGTCGCCCCGTTCCCCGCTTACTCGAATTCCGGTGAGGTTGCAGCCGCTGGAGGCGTCGGGAACTACTCAAACTTTGGTATCACTTTTGCCGGG